ACATGGTGGGCTTCGAGAGATGGTTCAGTGGTTAAGAGCACTAACGGCTGTTCCAGAGGATCCAGGTTTGGTTCCCAGCACCCACATGCAGCAGATAACAAGTCTGTGACTTCAGTTCCAGGGGATCTGACTTCCTCTCTGACCTCTTTGGGCATTGCACAGTAAGAGTGCATTAACATACATGCAGGCAATATACTCATACACATAAAAAAATTTTTTTTTAAATTTAAAAATGAAATATTTTAAAATACATTGTATGAAACTTAACAAAAATTCAATAAAAAAAGAGTCATAGGCAAAGAACTGCGGAGTCACTGCACTTGGTGCTCTCAGTGAGCAATGGTGCTGTGGTAGACTTGAGACTCTCTTTCCCGCGGGCACTGGTTTTCCCCAGAATTTAGAATACGGGAAGTTCAGTGGGAGGAGAATCTTACGGCTCGGATAATCTCTTTCGGTCTCTAATCTGAACCCAAACTCTTAACAGCGTTCTGCAAGGTCAGTGCTGACAGAAGCTCAGGGTGAAGAGCTTACTGATGTTCTTTTGTGGATACCTGCTAGACACGGAGTCAGAGTGTGGCAAATAAAAGTCCAGAAAATAGCAGCGTGAGCAGCACTAAACCGCCAAAGTAGAGCAGCCGGGCAGAGTCCGACTCCACCTGCTGCCTTCACTAGGTCACTGCTTTGTTCACTGTGGACAACGACACTTCCTATGCCATTTTTCTGAAGTCAAGCCTCTAGTTTTTAACCTCGGAAATATGGCTACTTACAATTGCTAGTCCCTAGATGCTATTTGCCCACCTTTGCATGACTAATATTTTTGCTTGTAATGCCCAATGTTTAAACAAAGTTTACTAACCTTAAAGTTTCCACAATGGATGAGACAGGAAAATAAAAACTCTCCTACCTTATTTTCCTACTTCCTGATCACTGGTTTAAGAAAAAGCACCTATTGAAAGTCTTCCTAGTGGCTCCCGACATGGCTTCATGTCCCACAGCTCTAATGTTAAATTTTCATCTGTGGAGTAGGATGATGCCAAAAGCCAACTGGGGCTAGCCTTGGTCCTCGGGAAGTAGTGGGGCTTGGTGTTTACACAATTTGGTGAACCTTTTCAAACAACAAGAATACAGAACTAAAAATGCAAAGGAGGATATGAAATATTCATTTAGAAGAATAGGAAATCGTGATGTATACACATTAGAACCTAGAAAATAATGATCCAGATCCTCTATACAAACATGGTAGCTAATGACAGCTGAAGGAAGCCTAGGAATAGGAATTTACATCTATGCCCCTAGTTGTGAGAGATAGAGATTTCAAAAGTCTTCCACATGCCAGTATTTTTACTTTCCCTCAGGGTATTAACTTTTCTTGGGCATGATTAAATTAGTTGACACCAATGGTTCACTGTAATGTTGTAGATACATGTATTCATTTGAAAAATATTTGCTGAGTTCTGCTATATGCCACATACTGGTCAGGTGCTTAAAATATATTATGAACTAAGATTTCTGCTCTTGGGGTTATTACTTTGCTGGATAAGAGAGAGGGACAGATAATAAGCAATATACAAAGTAAATAAGAATATCATCTAGTGCATGAAGGGTACACCTGGAGTAGTGGGGCTTGGAGTTTACACAATTTGGTGAACCTTTTCAAACAACAAGAATACAGAACTAAAAATGCAAAGCAAGACATGAAAGATTCATTTAGAATAGGAAATCGTGATGTATACACATTTAAAAGCTCATATAACAAAACCAAATAAATTCAATGACTTCACAATGTTTTCATTAATTAACTCATTAATTGGGCTTATTCTTTGATCATTTCACATGGTAGTTCTGTAACACTTTCTTTTTAAAAGGACAGGGAGTGGTTGCCTAGCATGCACAGGGACCTAGGCACAATCCCCAGTACCTAAAGAATGGGGGAAAAGATAGGTAACTTGCTCTTCTTCATAGAAAATAGTAGTATGACTAATTAAAATTTTGTTCCTGATTAGAAAAGTTTCTCTGAATTTCAAAATCATGTTGGCCAATTCCTAAAGGTCCTAAGGACTGATTTTAAATTTGATAAAACCACCAGGTTTCTTTAAAATATAAGCTATAAAGTGTAGAAGAATTTTCTACTAATTAGTTGGCTCTGTTAATTTCATAGCATGTTTGTCGTCTGCTATTCACTCACATGTTTTCTTGGCACGCGCTCTGGTAACAGAAAACAAAACCTGTTATGACCAATCAGTGGGAGCCATCTTTCTATACTCAAATGATTAACCTAACTAAACTATACAGAGAAGTGACTACATCAGCTTCTCATTACATTCCAATATGTCAAACTAAATATACCTCTGTGAATACCTCCAAAGGTCCACGTGCTAAAGATTTGGCCCCAGGGTAGTGCTATCAGGAAGTCGTGGAACCTTTAAAAATCAGCCTACTGGAAGGCCCATAGATCACTGTTGCTGTGTCCTTGACGGATGTAGCAGAATTCCAGACCTTGGAAGCATTTTTGCTCCACAGTATATACCTACCCTGTTACGTTATGTTTGCTCAAAACCATGGAGTGAATCAATCATGGATTGGAACTCTCCCCAAACAGTGAGGCAAAATAACATTTTCTATTTATGTTAATTATCTCTGATATTTAGTCATAGTGACAGAAAGATGGCAAACATACCCTAAGCCAGTATTCCCTTAGCCATACCTCAAAAGTGCCTGTCTCCACTATGCCACAGCTCAGTACAGGGGAGCACATGAAAAGAGGAAACTGGACTGGAAGAGAGAATGGTCTTAGCCAATTATAGTTAAAGCATGTTTGCAAATGTTACAGGAATACATGCTCATGTGAGAACAACAACCCTTTGCAATGTTTCTGGAAGAGTCTTAAGCATTGGCTTCATGCTCAGTGTTGCTCTGTGTAGTAAACATTATGTACAGAAGAAAAGACACAGCAAGATGGGGGCTGTACGCTATGAGCTTGGGGTCATGGAATGGGATGGATTCATCTCATGAAATAAATGATCAAGATAAACAAAGCAGCTATTGGAGCAACAATTTGGAATTAAGGAAGACAAGCAGATAACTTGGAGGAATGCATTGCAGGCAGAGAAAAGCCACAAGAGTAAAGAAACTAAACAGAAATGTCTAGTACACTCCTTGAATGGTAAGGAAGCTACTGAAACTAGAGCCTGTTACCAGTCAAACAAGTTTGATGCAGCAATTACTCAAACACATTGTTTCTTAGTGTTTTCAAATAGGGGGGTAGAGGAGTGAGTGTGCCATGGGGGGGCGTGTGGCAGTCCAAAGACAACTTTCCAGGGCAGACTCTCTCTCTCTCTCTTGTTTTTGATGCTGTGCAGAGTACTCCAGGCAGGCCAGTCTACAAGCTTCTGTGAAATTCTCCTGACCCCTCTTCCCATCTTTTCATAGGAGTGCTGGGATTACAGAGGTGTGCCAACACTGACAGCTTCTTTGTTGTTGCTGGTTAATGTGTATGAGTGCTTTGCCCTCTTGTATGTAAGTGTACCATGTGTGTGCAATGCCCATCGAGGCCAAAAGAGGGCTTAGAATCCTGGAGCTAAAGTTATGGATGGTTGTTAGCTGCCATATGTGTGCTGGGAACTGAACTGGGGTCCTCTGGCAGAGCAGCCTGTGCTTTTAGCCACTGAGCCATCCCTCTGGTCCCCATGTTTTGCTTTGTTTTGGGGTTTCAGGGTTAGAGCTCAGGTCATCTGGCTTGCACCATTAGTGCCCTTACCCACTGAGCCATCTCCCCATCCCTGGCTCACATTTTTAAAAGGATCATTATCATTACTGGTTTGGGAATAGATTGTAGAGGCAAAGGTAACTCAAAAAGTACATGACAGTCACTCAAACCACAGTATTAACAATGGACATGGCAATAAAGTCAGTTTATGTTATTTGTTCCAGAGCCATGTTATTTGCTTGGGTTTATTAGTGGG